GTACCACACTGTGAATAATATCTTTGGATCTTTGAAAAGAAGCTATAAAAATGGTTTTTCCTACCTGGCTTTTTAAATGATGGTCACCCTACCGCCAGTAAACGTGACTGCGCTTGTTTCACGGCTATTGCCGTAGAAAAGCGGAGTAATTAATTCACTAACGCTAAGCTCTGCTCGGTTTATGTGCACTGTTTACTATGACAACACAGTAACAATAGTCAGTAATTACATCGCAGTACTGCCAGTGTGGCTAACTAATGTTTTAATGCGTGAAGTGTTGCTTTGTATTTTGTGGTTACTTGAATAACCTAGAAAGTCTTTTAGAATTAAAACGTTCTTTGTAATCGTCAGGGCAGGTCAGTGTGCTTACCATGAATTTACGTTAGATGTGTACGCTAGCGACTGCGTAAAAAACAGACAGTACAGCGCCTCTAGCGGCTACTTTCAAGAACTAAAATCTTCTAAAATTTTTGACGCACTCGCTAGCGAGTACACCTAACGTAAACTCATGGTAAGCACACTGGTATTTACTCTAGAATCAAATGAAGGTGATTCTGGTATATTAAAAAGGCCAGTCTCCTGTGGTGGAGACTGGGTCTACATATTATTATTATTTTGGGCCTTCATATGCGCCAGCTCGACCAGGTTTGATCTATTGTGGCAGCCCTTGTGTTTAGAGTTCACTGCTTAGTCCCGTTGAGTCTATAAATTTCCAGATTCTTTGGAGCGTGATATCTGCTATCATGCGGGTGCATGATGTGTCGCCCGAGATGGATACTTCTTTTGCTCATAAGCGGGCCGCATGAGCAAAGAACATGCATGGCCGTTTCTTCTTCTGTATGGCAGAATCTGCACAGAGTTTCCTACAGGAGAGTAATTATGGTGAAGATGAAATGGACGATTTGGCTTACATTCCCGGCCGTACATGTCGGCCGTTTGGTGTAGTGGTTCAGAACGGACTACTATGCCGAGAGATCCCGGATTCGATACCCGGCCGGGCAGAAATTGAAATGATGAATTTTAATTTCTGTGACGGGTCTGGGTGTTACTATGTATAATATGTATGTATTTAAATAAAAGTATATAAGTAGTATATCCGTTAAGCTAGCACCCATAACACAAGCATATTAATTGCTTACTTTGGGGCTAGATGGCGCTGTGTGAGATTGTCCAAAGATATTTATTTATTTATTTATTATTCCCCACGCTGCGGGTAAATTGGCCCTATTCCGAATTCGAAATCACACAGCCATAGGTATAACTTTAATGAAATACGAGTAGGTATATAAATAAAATAAAACCTGTTGACGGTCGCTATCTTCCGATTAAAAACTCTCAAAAATAAAAGCTTAAAGCCACTTGTAACCACAAAAAGTGACCCGGCCACTTAACCTGGCCTGCCAGGCGTGAACAGCGCAAAGAAAAATGATATTTTAAATTAATCTTAGCTGCAAACGTCGAGCGCCCTCTAACGACTTTACTCGGGACTTCAATGGTTTTAGGGTTCCGTAGGAGAAGTTTTTTGAAACAGAAGTTCAGTTGAAACACCACCAAACGGTGCTTACCGAGCTGGTTGCGTCACAATTCGCTTGCCTCTCAGATCGCGTCTGTGACTCAAGGCACCTTTCGTCATCATTATCATCATAATTTCAGCCACGTCAGCTGTAATACAAAAGTAATAAAGCTTGACACTGCTTATTGTGGTATATTTTCGCTAGTATCTGGCTTATGTGTTGGCTGGGAGGCCTCTCCCTATGATTTCCAAAATGACCCGTGGTGGCAGCTTGTATCCATCGCCTTCCTGCTACCTTTGTAAGGTTGTCGGTGCACCTTGTGGGTGGTCGACCTACGCTACGCTTCCCGCACCTTTAAGTTCTGAAAAATGGGTGTTGTTTCAACTCACCTCTCTGTTTCGAAACACCTCGGCCTCTCTTACCTAAAGGGTAGAAACGGGACTCTAATATTAAGATTCTACTATCTGTCTGTCACCAAGCTGTATCTCATTAACCGTGATACTTAAAATGTTGACGTTTTCACAGATGATGAATTTCTATTACTGCTATAACAGCTAATACTTAAAATAGAGTAAAAAAATATTGAAGTCTCATACAAAAACATGATATTTTAGCCGTTTTTTGGTCGAAACTACAACCTACAAGTGTACGGAATATTTTGTGAGCGACTACGACTCGCACTTGGCCGTTCTTTTTTAAGTAGCATATTAGATTATGGTCAGGCGGATCCTGTTCCAGTAGCGTTGCTGAAATTCCCGTTTAATACCTCCTCTCACCTTCGGGGACTGGTAATTTTATCGCCCCTGAATGTGAAGATAGTACAGCCAGTACATGCTGTTAAAATTGGTATTAAGGAATCTACAATAAGTTATGAAGTATGTTTATTGCCCTTCGATTTAAAAGAGTAAATAAATGCAGGCATTTTCATACTGCAGTTTTAAGTGATACTGTTAAACAGTTTCATTTCTACATTTTTGACGATACCAAGAAGATTTGTCTATTAATGCAAATTCATAAGATAAACAAAAAATATACATCCCAATAAAAGAACGCAATTTCTAAAAAAACACACACTTGAATAAAACCTTAACTCGGCACTTATTGCAATAAATTTTAAAAGCGCATTAATTTTTAAAACAGCATTAAGTACTATCGGGGACTCGAACGCCTTGACACCTTAAGGGCCTAAATTGTTTGCACACACACGCTCGATTAAGCTCCGCCCCCGTTCATTCATGTTTCGGGTCTAAGCAGNATATAAAAAAAATACATATCTATTTGTTTGTAACCAAATTCTATTATTAAAATTCTAAGGCTGAGTTGCACCATCTTACTTTAACTTTAACAAACGTCAAAATTCTGTCAAACTCCATACAAAAAGCACCGGTTACCGTTATAGCTACGGTCAAAGTTAGGTGGTGCAACTCAGCCTAAAACTAAGAAAGATTGAAGAAAAAGAAACATTTCGTTTTAAACCCTAACCGTATGACAATAAAGTGCACAATGGTATTTCGTATTGCAACCTAAGCCCTGATTGTCTCTTATTGGTCGTAGTAAAAATATAGTAAAATGCGTAACCAATTAGAGACGGGGTGAGCACGTGACCGGAGCGATGCGCTTACGCTAAAATTTCTACAAAGTGGTCAGGCGGAAGAGTCCCCGATAGTACCTTTCTAACTCCAAATTCAAAAAATCTGCGACCTCTTTTAAAAAGTGCAAATCTTTTGCGTCAATATTTTACGAAGGCTCTTTATTTCTATGGAATGTGCTGGCTGGTCTAGTTCAAGCTAGGTCATTATACTAATGAATATAATAATACTAGCTTTCCGCCCGCGGCTTCGCCCGCGTGGAATTTTGTCTGTCACAGAAAAACTTTATCGCGCGCGTCCCTGTTTCAAAAACCGGGATAAAAACTATCCTATGTTCTTTCCCGGGACTCGAACTATCTCTATGCCAAATTTCATCAAAATCGGTTGCGAGGTTTAAGCGGGAAAGCGTAACAGACAGACAGACAGACAGACAGACAGACAGACAGACAGACAGACAGAGTTACTTTCGCATTTATAATATTAGTTGGGATATATGTAATGAACAGCTTCCTGCTCACGCTTGTTCGTTGGCGAATACCTTATTTTTCACGACATGCACCTATTATTTTTAATACGTTACACTTATACGTTATACGTTACTGCCCTTTTGTCTCTATGTCTCAGAGTCCTCCACCTGGACATGAGCTCCCCTGGCTTACCTGGGAGTCTTTAAATAGACTTCGGACGCAAGTCGCCCGTAGTAAGGACAATCTGGTCAGGTGGGGATTCTTGGACGGCTTAAAAATGGAGTGCAGGTGCGGTTTTGTTCCCCAGTCGATGAGGCACCTGATGTAGTCGTGCCCTGAGTGCCCGAGCAACTGCACTCAGGAGGATTTGATGAGTGCTGCTGACAACGCCACTCTTGTGGCGGAGTTTTGGGCTGACACTGTATAGGTTTGTTGTCGACACGAAAAGAAGAAGAATACGTTACAACAATTATTTTTAACAGAAGATAATTTAAACATCCTGTACAATGAGAGTTATACGAAATAACCGCGATTTCCTAGGGTTTATGTTAGTCTTAATTAAGAATTAAATGATCGGTATTAATTGATTTTATTTAAAAGTACCTAATTTGAAAGTGACCTTACTGAAATGTCTTTCAAACTCCATCTTATTGTTATTTTCAAAGAAAAAGGACATTTTAATTATTATTTTTCACAATTTTCCTTGTTTTGTACCTTAATTAGTTGTAAACTGTTAATAAGGTGTAAAGCAGGTAGTTGAGAAAAACTAATTAAACAAAGACTTAACTTCTTCAAAAGTACCCTATATTAGACCTGATAACTTTTAATTAAATTTAAAGTTAGCATATTAATTGCTTTGAAATCAAAAAAGTCTATTAAGTTGTTAATAAGGGACATAATTTTAGTTCCAATAATACAATATCCTTGAAAGCCTACGCTAAAACTCGCGGTTCAGTAGATACCGAAAATTAGGCTGGGTTGCACCATCTTACTTTAACTTTGACACACGTCAAAAATCTGTTAAACTCCATACAAAAAACGCCGGTTATCGTTATAGTTACGGTCAAAGTTAGGTGGTGCAACTCAGCCTTAAGCTAAGCGTCCACTTGTCGGTATCGTACGCAACGGACGCATCGTACGAAACACATCGTATCGGATGTGCGATGCGTACGATGCGGACAGGTGGACGCACTTATATGAGTTTCCATATAAATAATACGACGATCCGTTGCGTGCGATACGTCCGATGCGTACGACCGACATGTGGAAGCTTAGCTTTAGTATGAGCCCGCGCAACGCCCATGCAACGTGGGCGGGCAGATTTATGAAAAAAACTTAGGGAGTTGAGGTTTTGATAGCTGATAAAAAGCATGAAATTATTGATTGGTTAACTATTTCATTATACTAAGCAATGTTATCTTTTGTTTCAGGTATCATGGATCAGAAGAAAAGACTACCATCTGTTAACAGTAGGTCTAACGACGTACAGTTCAGACCAGAGGTTTCAAGCCATACATCTTCAGCATTCAGAGGTAACAACTAATACTTTTATTAAACTACATCATAATTTTTGATTACCACACACCACAAGGTGAACCGACGACCTCATAAAGGCAGCAGGAAGGACCTGGATGCAGGCCGCTACCAACCGCGCGATATGGAAATCATTGGGGGAGGCCTATGTTGAGCAGTAAACGACCTGTAGCTAAAAGGATGATGATGACACGTAGCGTTTCAACTATAAAACACTTTTTGGTTGTTTCGTCTTCTTTTAGTTGATGTTTGAAACTAATAAATTATAGTACCTAACTTAAGGCAGTTCATTTAGTTTGGCTCCAAGACTATGACAGTTGTTATACCCCTAGCAATAGAGAAGAAGACATGAACATTGATTGACAATGTTGCATTTCATGTCTAAAAATCTTGATAAAGTAACAAAAAACTTACGGATGCGAGCAGCGCAGGAGGAGGCCATTGTCCAGCACGTCCTTCGGCTGAAACAAACGAAAAAAAACACATGTTTCAGTCTAATCACACTTCTTACACAAATCGTATTAGTGGAAACTTTTTAAAATTACCTTATAGCAAATCGTCCATAAATTACAAAAATCCGAAAGAAACCATTCATCCATTTACCGATTTAGATAAAATTATATCGAGACTCAGAAAAAATCATAACATAGATCGTTCCATCCACGAAGACGCGCCCCACTATTCTTCCGCTAATGTTTGAGTGTTATCGGTACACTCTAAATTATCCATGAGTGCACACGCATACTACAATAATGACGGATCAAACTCCCGCACCTCGCGATTCCCTCGACCAAAAATTGGTGGCTCGTCTTCGTGGACGAAACGATCTATATCTATCACTGGTTATTGAAATGGGACAATAAAATATTACCTACTTTACTACATCGTTGTATTATTTTTATTACTCGATAAGGTCTTCCTGACGAAATTCATGCAGATGAGGCCGTGGGCAAAAGCTACTCGTAGTACGTAATTTTATTAAAATAGAATGTAAAACGAGTCAATTCTTCCACAGGACTGGACGTTGAAGGTGCGCTTCGTTCAGAAGCGGGACGCCGGTATCTACGAGTGCCAGGTGTCGTCGCATCCGCCCACCAGCCTGTTCCTAAGGCTCGACGTAGTCGGTGAGACATTTATTATGAATTTTAATCTTTATTTATTTTTATTTAATAAGATAGAGAATAAGTGCTATAAATGCCGGAACAAACAAAGTCTAGAACTTGTACCATCTCGATCGATCAAGCTAAAAAAAAATTCAAGGTCAAAGTTCATAAATACAGGTTTTTGCGATTTTCAGCGAAACGGTAAGTTTTATTATAAAAATATGTAAGACAGCCTTTTAGACCATGCGATTATCTATAAAATAGTCTTTACACTTGGTGCTATACTTATTAGGTATTGTTAAAAGTATGGGTAATAATAATTTTTGGTTAGGGTATTGTAATTTTTACCTACTTTCCTCTTCGAACCCGTATTACAGAATAAGTCTTCCTGCCTACCGTCTTGCTCGCTATCCTAATTTTGTCATTTTATATGCTAGGTACGTACTTCTAGTTTATTTATTCCAATTTCTGAAAAAAGAGCGTTAAAATTTTGCGGAAAATTCATCGCAATAAAGCACGAGTTTAGATTCGGCGAGCTCACATTGCAATTCGAAATTTCGGTCAAGATTCCAATTTACAGAACTGTGCTCGCTGCGGTCGCAAATGAGATCCAAACAGACCATCAAAACAAGCCAAGAGCGAGTTAGATCAAATTTGAATTCAAATTCAAATTGTTTGTTTGTATGTAGTAGTAGGAAGGCGCAGGATGCAGGCCGCTACCAACCGTGCGATGTGGAAGTCATTGAGGGAGGCCTATGTTCAGCAGTGGACGTCCTGTGGCTGAAATGATGATGATGATGTAGATGAATGCCCTTTTTCAGGGCATTTGTACAGGACCAGAATGTAACTTGCCCAACTATCACTTTGGGACGGCATATTGGTTGGAGCTGAGAAGTGGCGGAAGAAACTAACACACACGAAGGGTTTGTACCATCGTATAGGATGCTAAATACTTTCTTAAATTGGCCAGTAATAAAAATACACATAGGTGCCTACTCTAAATCTGTCTGTGTCTAATTATACACTTTGTGTCAAATTTTAACTAAATACTATATAGAGCTTGCTGACAGTGGAAAAGAAAGACAGAAATGGCATACCTATGAAAAGGTCCGTAACAATACTTTGAGTATGAAACTCAAAAAAATATGGCACAAAGGTACCACTAAAAAAATACTTTACAAAGTAACGTACCTAATATTTCCCACAGCAAACCTGTGGTTCAATAATATCAGTTTATCAAAGCTACGAACGCCAATATCCTTCCATAAAAATTCCTTTGCGCCTGAAATTCTCGCTCAGTTTATATAAAACTTTGAAATTGGAGCGGCCATTACGTATCTCTCTAATCAGAATAACAGAAATCGAGTATTTTCACCTTGGCTCTGGAAAACCGAAATAAGTCCAGTTATCCCAGTTATTCGATTTGATCGGACTGAGTCCGGACGAATTGACAAATAAAACAAATAATTTGCTTTATTGGCTAGGGCAGGGCGCGAACGAGGATTTGCCAACGATTTATTGAGTCGTATTTGGTCTTCCATTTTGTCGATACATTTCCAGTTTGCAGTCTGTTTTGATTTTCTGGAATAATTCTGGAGATATTCCGAATTTTATAAATGTCTCGATGCGATCACCTAGTTAGTGTTTTAAAGTGTAGAGAAAATTATTTTTGATTAGTATTGAAACTTAATGGATCTCACTATAACTGAACTAGTAACAACTAATCGTGCGATGTGGAAGTCATTGGGGGAGGCCTATGTTCAGCAGTGGACGTTCTGTGGCTGAAATGATGATGATGATGCGTAGAGATCAACTTGGAGTTCATTTGTTTCAGACAAACGACGTCCACTGCTGGACAAAGGCCTCCTCCAAGGATTTCCAGAACGACCTGTCCTGCGCTGCCCGCATCCAGAACCACCCCATCGAGGACAAACTTAAATTCACATATTTTACTTGGATGCCTTTTTCGGAGTTAGAATTGTTTAAACTTTTGAAAACGTTCATACTGAAGCTAAGTTAAAGCTTTCGTTATCAATATTTTCCGATCAAACTATATCAATCAAGCTTGTAGTCACTAGGATAGTGACGTCACGGTTGCGCAAAAAGTTTTGGTAACCGTAGAGTCCGGTAATCTTTCTTGACGATTCAGTCAAATCACGTATGCGTACCGCCTTTTGTTTAAAAAACGCTAACAAGTGAGTGACTTAATCGGGAAAAAGGTTTCCCTCTATACCAACGAATCTGGTTAAGGAAAAGAGTATACGAATTCGTACCGGACTCGAATTTTTTAAATTGGTTAATTTGATTAGCACAAATTCGGGTATTAAAGAAATTGGAGATCTAAGAAAGTTGGAGAGAAATGAAAAATTGGTGACTTATTAACTGGAATTGAAGTAATTTTCAGCGAGTTTTAATATACTAAATTATCTTCGCTATGGATTTTTTTTCAACGATTGTTATCTATAAATTCTGAGCTAAACCGCAAGAATTTTCAATTTGTCTCCTTTCATAAAAACAAGAACATTTGAAGCTCAAACTCCAAAGAGTTTAATTTAAAAAGAAAATACTTCGCTCCTTTCATGTAAGCCCTCTAAAAACATTCTAGTACGGTTGATTTTATTTTAAGTCTTTTAATACTTTTTTAGGCTCCGTTAGAATATCCCCCGTTGTAAATTAGTTTAACGGCACACAAAAAACACCCCTTTGTGGAGCGTTTTTGTATCTTTTTCTGTGGGTTTCCTTTAATATACAGATCCTACATTTATATGGTAATCAGAGACTGGTGTTAAAATATCATCGGGGACAATGCAGACTTAGCGGTAAGGGACGTGAGTTTAAATAGGGGCACCGTAACGATATATTATGTGGTATTCAAATTTGGTAAGTAGGTCTTAGTCATATTAGAGGACGAAACTCAAAGCTCAATTCAATTTAAGGGTTCATTTAGACCAATCATACAACAGCATCTATAAGGGCTTACCACGGCAATCCAGTTCAGCAGGATCCCGCAAAACTGGCCTGTCGTGTGAGCACACAATATTATGTGTTTGAAATTTGAGGTATACCTAAATTCGATCAGATTGACTTTCACGGGACACTGCAAACGGGATGTTCGCGTGAATGTTAATATTAAAACACGTATGCGGGATAAGGCAAAAAAAAGTTCTTGTTAAACTTACATACAAGTTAAAAGTTGTTTTATAATACAGACTTATATGTAGCCAAGTTTCGCAAATCTTGATTTAAGTCACCCTTCAAATAGTTTTTTTGGTATTTTTAGACTATTTTATCGTGTTTTCAAATCGTTGAACCCTTAAAGAAGAATAGGAGCTAATTTTAAGAAACTTTGCCCTTACAGAGTCATCTTTTATGCGATACTGATACAGCGGTTTGAGATATACATTTAGTCAATGCTGAAAAGAAGCGCCACAAAAAACTATATTTGAAAATAAAAGAAAAAATACTTCATCATGTCTGTGATTCATATTTTTTTCAATTAAGTTCTATTAGACAGATTACAAGCTTAAAAACATGCTTGACTTGACTTGCGTAACACCATTGCGTTAAAAAGGTTCCTTTATCATTTCAGCCCAGTTCGCGCTACCTCTACCGGCACGGTTCATAGAGCAGTCTAACGACCGCTATTTGTCGCCGCCTAGTAGATAAATCCTGTCACGCGTTAGATCCGTTCGTTGTTTAGAGTTCGACACCATTAAACAAGGGGGTTAGGGGGATGGGGTGACCGCGAGGTCATTAGGATTGTGTACGTCACGGATGAAACAGGAAGCTAGTGTTTTGGAATTACTATCGGGGTGAATGTTTGAGCTAATGAGTCAGTGTTTGGCGAAAATGGCTCAATCTGCTCAAAGGCTCAATTTGCAGTGTATACTGGTATAAGACATAAGATAGCTTTAGCATTACTTAAATAATCATTTTTTAAGTAAAGTATGGGAAACAAACACCCACTTTTAGAGCCCTTTCAAATTAGACGTTTTGAGACGGACCGTTGTCGTCCGTTTGTAGTACCGCACACAGAAAATTGTAAGATAATTTCGTCAGAATAAAATTGACAAGTACCAACAGTAAGTTGCATACGCATGACAACAGTGCGGCTCAAAACGTTTAATTGATAGAGCCCTTTAGATCATCAGAGCTACGAGTATGTTGCTACTAAATCAAAATATGTGCTAGGAACGCCCAAGTTGTGTTGATTTTTTTAAACAGTCATAATATGTATTTTTTTTTACTTATTTGCACATTGATCAGAGCACAAGAGGCGAACTACGAGTAAATGGCATTATGGCATTAATGCCATCCTTTTAATTTATTAATACTCATGCTACAAACATTGTCTCCAAAAAGATAATGTTAACACCACACCCACGCTCGTTATGAGATCAAAACGGCGGAAATCTGTGCACTGGCTTGGAACACGTATAAAAGTAATTTAATTAGCGTTTCGTAAAAGCATCCATACATCGAAAATCGGATTAAATGTGTGGGAGGCGTCAATAAGTATACACATAATATTTGTGATGAAAATGGATTTCANTTGAATATAAAATAACTTGCAAAAAAAATTTAACCTCTAAGAAAGTAATTCCTTAGTAAAATTGTTAAAGTCTTTACCTGTTTGAGTAACATTTTCACCCGTCTTGACAAAATCCGCCATAACTGTTTTTTTTTAGTGTTTCCTATTGTAAATTTTAAATCTACTGTACATTGATCTCGGAGCCATCTACTTAGTAAATTCAAATCTAACTAGAGTGATTCTAAGTCAGCACCTGACAATATTATTCTTAAAGCGGGCAATCACTACCAGTGGGCAATCACTCTCTGGTTTACCCTACTTTTTTAGGCTCCGTTAGAATATCCCCCGTTGTAAATTAGTTTAACGGCACACAAAAAACACCCCTTTGTGGGGCGTTTTTGTATCTTTTTCTGTGGGTTTCCTTTAATATACAGATCCTACATTTATATGGTAATCAGAGACTGGTGTTAAAATATCATCGGGGACAATGCAGACTTAGCGGTAAGGGACGTGAGTTTAAATAGGGGCACCGTAACCATATATTATGCTGTATTTAAATTTGGTAAGTAGGTCTTAGTCATATTAGAGAACGAAACTCAAAGCTCAATTCAATTTGAGGGTTCTAATTGGTCGAATTTTCAACATTTAGATCATACAACAGCATCTTAAGGGCTTATTCCCACGGCAATCCAGATTTCAAGACCCCGCAAAACTAGACTGTCTTGTGAATACGCTTCATGTGCGTTTGAAATTCAAATTACAAATTCAATAGGATCGGTTTTTTGCGGGACACGGCAAACGGGATGTTTGTGTGCACGTTAATTTTATAACACAAATTATAAGCTGCTAAACGGGATACTGCAAAAAAAACTGTTCCTGCAAAAAACGGGATGTCCCCGTGGGAACAAGCCCCAACGAGATCGAATTAAACTTACATAAAAGTTAAAAGTTGTTATTATGTAGCCAAGTTTCGCAAATCTTGATTTAAGTCACCCTTCAAATAGTTTCGTTGGTATTTTTAGACTATTTTATCGTGTTTTCAAATCGTTGAACTAATTTTAAGAAACTTTGCCCTTAAAAAGTCGTCTTTTATGCGATACTGATTCAGCGCTTTGAGATATACATTTAAGCAATTCTGAAAAGAAGCGCCATAAAAAACTATATTTGAAAATAAAAGAAAAAATACTTCATCATGTCTGTGATTCATAATTTTTTCAATAAAGTTCATAGTAAACAGATTCAAGTTTAAAAACGTGCTTGACTTGACTTGCGTAACACCATTGCGTTAAAAAGGTTTCTTTATCATTTCAGCCCAGTTCGCGCTACCTCTACCGGCACGGTTCATAGAGCAGTCTAACGACCGCTATTTGTCGCTGCCTAGTAGATAAATCCTGTCACGCGTTAGATCCGTTCGTTGTTTAGAGTTCGACACCATTAAACAAGGGGGTTAGGGGGGATGGGGTGACCGCGAGGTCATTAGGATTGTGTACGTCACGGATGAAACTGGAAGCTAGTGTTTTGGAATTACTATCGGGGTGAATGTTTGAGCTAATGAGCCAGTGTTTGGCGAAAATGGCTCAATCTGCTCGAAGGCTCAATTTGCAGTGTGTACTGGTACATAAGATAATCTTAGCTTTAATTAAATAATCATTTTCCAAGTAAGGTATGTAAATAAAGCTCTTTGACAACTGGAAAATAAACGCTCACTTTTAGGTCGAGTCAGAGCTACGTGTGTTACTATAGAATCAAAATATCTGCTAAGACCGCCCAAGTTCTGTTGATTTTTTTACATAATAATAATGTATCTTTTTAACTTATTAGCGATGCTGTCGCGAGTATCGTAAACGTAAAAAGTCACCGTGGGCGAGCCTTATGGCATTTTCCATCAGTAACCTTCGACAAATCTATTTTCAATACTCGTGCTACAAACATTGTCTCCAAAAAGATAATGTTAACACCACATCCACGCTCGTTATGAGATCAAAACGGCCGATTTCTGTGCACTGGCTTGGAATATGTATAAAAGTAATTTAATTAGCGTTTCATAAAAGCATCCATCCATACATCGAAAATCGGATTAAATGTGTGGGAGGCGTCAATAAGTAGGTATACACATAATATTGTGATGAAGAGAAAATGGATTTCACGTGAAGTAATTTCGAAACTTATTTCCCACTTGAAAGGACTAGGTAGTATAATCGGTGCCAAGGGATACTGGCATTTTTGCTAACAAACAATGACGAATACTTATCGATATCGAGATGCCTATGTATCTGGTCATCAGCATCATCATTTCAACCATGGAAATCATTGGGGGAGGCATATGTTCAGCAGTGGACGTCCTGTGGCTGAGGTGATGATGATGATGAAACCAAGGAAAAAATATAATCGACCTAATACAAGAAGAATGAGCTATTCTATTCACACTGCATGTCAATTTACCAGTAGTGCGAAACGCCTATAAACCCAAAATAATGTTAGGAATAAAACAGCACTGCTAAGTCGATTTTTATCGAATAGTTTACAAAATTACCAGTTGAAATTGGCGCGGATTATGCCTAGATAGGATATAAAAAAGGCCAGACGTGTGTAATATTACTTTCCAGACAGAACTTTCATATAAGTTATTGAGCGGGCGTGTTTCTATCAAGGTGTCAACACTTCAGTCGTATGATTATGGAGAAGTCGATAAAGCCCGTTGAGACTATCGATAATACATAAAATAATAATAAGTTTATGAAACACGAAGCTGCTTCTTTCGTATTGCGAAAACACTCATATTCAAGGTCACCCACAGAGAGGGAGCGTGCTATGCTCGGAGTTTTCCTGCGTGATCGAAACAGATATAAGGAGAACCATAGGAAAACCAAAGTAACCGATATAGCCTGCAGAATACATAGTCATACTAAGAGTAGGCGCACACCATTGATTTTTCGTCGGCCGATAGTTTAGTCGGGCAGTTGATCAGTGCGCACACTACGCCGATTCGATTTGGCCGATTCTTCATACAAATTAAAATCGGGCACAACTATCGGCCAACTAAAAATCAACGGTGTGCGCCTACTCTAAAATAGCAGTGGACAGGCTACATAGCTCGTAGAACTGATGACCGTTGGGGCTCGGGGGAAGTTCTAAAGTTGCGACCACGGGAAGACAAGTTGTAGGGAGGCCTCTCACTCGGTGGACTGATAACCTGGTAAGGGACTCGGAAAGCACCTGGCAATGCAGGACTTGCCGTGGTGAAAATCCTTGAACAGGTCTTTGTCAAGCAGTTGAACATACTATAACATATTAATATTTTAATGTCTGAAAAAGCTAAACTTCATGATACTACTACAACCTAAATGAAACCCTGTTTCAAATGCAAATAAATAATCATTTATCATTTTGACGTCTTTTCGTTGAAACAAACGAACTTATAATAAGTACAGGTTGTTCAGTCTAGTACGATTGCGATCATGGAACTTGACCTTTACTAATGGGAATCCGACTAGTAACTTCGACGGGTATTTTGACTATTCTCGATAGTTCTCAGCACAACACTAATCAAAAGATAAATTCAGCTTAAATCCCCAGGCTATTCTTCACAAATTCGTTTAGCAGCCGAAACTATTTGTTATTCAGGACGTTCCTCATGCCATAATTTAGGCTAAAAGCCTTGTACGCATTAATCTTATTACAAACCCTTGTTACAGAACATTTTGATTCGCATTTCATTACATACAAGGTTTTAGAATTGACTAGGATTTTACTTCTTATTTCATTATAGCTGACCCGGCAGACTTCGAACTGCCTTTACTCATGAGGGATAATTTAGGATTCTAATAGTGAAAGATTTTTTCAAATCGGCCCAGTAGTTTCGGAGCCTATTCAACAAACACAAACAAATAAACATCAAATCTATCCTCTGTTTAAGATTTGTTTAGATGTAGATTAGACTTTCACAGTTCCGTAGTCTGCCAATGACTCTAATGTCGAACAAAGGAGGTAACCAAGGTTTACCATTAGGACCAGTTCTGTTCCTCAATTAATTTGTTTATTGACTAGTTCATAAAAGTATTATGAGGTGTCAAAACATAGTTCTTCATTGACTAGCACGACAAATTCATTTTTTTAAGTCACCATGACGTCATCACTTTTTGCCAACTTTGTCAACTTTCAATCTTAGACCTATTGAGAAAGTATTTTTTGTCCACATTCATCATTTAAAGTATTGAAGTAAACGGATTTTGTATTGTTTCAGAGGCGCGAGCGCAGATATCAGGGCCGACAGACAAATACCTGAAGCCAGGGTCAACGCTGCGACTGCAGTGCTCGGTGGTGCAGACGACTGAGGCGCCTGCGTTTGTGTTTTGGTAAGTTTACATTTGATTGTTATTACAGTATGACGATACGGCGCATGATGAACGTTAGGGCTTGTTCCTACGAAGACAACCCTTTTTTGCAGGATCTGTTTTTTTGCAGTATCCCGTTCTTCTTCTTTTCGTGTCGACAACAAACCGCCCACAGTGTCAGCCCAAAACTCCGCCACAAGAGTGGCGTTGTCAGTAGCACTCATCAAATCCTCCTGAGTGCAGTTGCTCGGGCACTCAGGGCATGACATCAGGTGCTTCATCGACTGGGGAACAAAACCGCACCTGCACCCCATGTTTAAGCCATCCAAGAATCCCCACCTGGCCAGATTGTCCTTACTACGGCCAACCTGCGTCCGAAGTATATTTAAAGACTTCCAGGTAAGCCAGGGGAGCTCATGTCCAGGTGGAGGACTCTCAGACATAGGGACAAAAGGGCAGGGGAGATCAGCTCTCTCACACCATAACCTGCATCTCTCTTAAATCCCGTATTATAGTTATCTTAGTATCCCGTTAAATTTAACACACACATAAATGTGTTCAAATGACGGTCTAGTTTTGCGGGATTTTGAGTTACTGGATCCCGCAGGATAATATTACAGGAGAGATGATGACTTATGATTAACATTATCTAAAGTGTCAAATGTATCTCTTCTCTTACGTTACGGGATATGCAGATTACGTGCCAGAAGGATCCGTATTATCTTTTAGTCATTAAATCGATTAGCGAATCGATAGTACACACTACTTAGTAACTATAATATCAAACATACCTAATAAACATGGTATCGTCTATTAGTTACGTTAATTACCGAATGGTGTGTTAATTGAGAAGCTTCACAAGATGCAATTAGGATGTGCTGTCTTGTGCTGTCTTATTGTGGTATGCACTTGGTTTTCACTGAAGCATTTTCAATTTAATTGTCCCAAAATATGCAATGTTAACCAATTAAATCATATCCCGGATTACATGATTCCTATTGATATATCATAAATTAACGGCCGCCCGCTACTTCGTACGCGTGGATCCCATTCTACCCCCATAGGGGTTGGATTTTGCAAATCCCGTCTTAGTGAGCACCTACGTTCTAAAAGAAACCCCCATGCAAAATTTGAGTCTCCTTGCACTTATAGTTTCTGAGATTTCGTTATGAGTGAGTGAGTCAGTGACCATTCGCTTTTATAGATAGATAGATAGATGTGTATACCAGCTACAGATCCTGGTTACATAGTTGTGTAGTTGATCCAACGAATAGACCATGCCCATCCATTCGTTTGTAAGTGCAAATAACAATTTCTTCCACAAACATTTAATTCGAACTACAACTTCCACCAACTTTACATTGCTTGTTTATTCAGAACTAAATCTCGTTACAAATTCCAAGACAGCAAACACAAACATCAAGTTAAATTCAAAGCGTTCAAAGTGCTGCACCTAATTGCAAAAAAGAGACAACTAATTAGTGCACCAACCCGTTCACGTAAACTGCGACCTGACCAAGCCAGGGGTTAATATTATAATTCTCAAAACTTACGTTGGACAACGGATAAAACCAATTTGTTATTCGAGTTTAAAGTAGGTACAACTGGAATTTGGCATTTATTGACTTAGGGATGATAATAACTTCAGGTCTTAGGTTCAAATTTCAAATTAAAATCAAATTATTTATTTGCTTAAAACACGGTAGGTACATGGTTCAGTACCTCTAGTAGGAAAAACTTTCGAGTTCGTTTCGTTGCGTATTCAAAGTGTCATCGAAAAATTTTGTATGAAAAATTAAACAGCGCCCCCTATATTATAGCCGCCCTAGGGGGCGCTGTTTAATTTTTCATACAAAATTTTTCGATGACACTTTGAATACGCAACGAAACGAACTCGAAAGTTTTTCCTACTAGAGGTACAGGTCATTAAACCTTTGTTTGTCACCTGTCATCCGCTTTGCAATGGAGGGAAGTCGAACCTTAACTTCGAACTCCTGTTCTTCCGATTAATTTCGTTGCGGGTCCAATGACAGTTTAACTGTCCCCCGGGACAAACTTGACCTTCACGAACTCGAAACGTACAAAAATTCGTCCTCGTTTTGAACTCGAAAGTTTTTCGTACTAGTGGTACAGGTAAGAGAAAAGAGTGTAGGCCTAAACCTCTTTTTGATTTTAGTAAATTAGAAAAGGTCGTCCTCTGCAGGTAGACACATAATGACAATTTTTTCGAACTATAAGAATTAATTATTGCACCCTAGCTTTTACCCCGGCTTCGCTCGCATATATTTCGTTGAGTCACAGGCAGATTTAGCCTCTGTCACTAAGGAATAATTGAGCTTTCTACTGGTGAATGGATTTTCAAAATCGATTTAGTAGTTTCAGAGATCACCTCTAAAAATACCCACAAACTTTACCGCTCTATACTAATATTACTGTAGATAATAATGCTATAACACTTTTGCCACTGAAATCAGAAACCGCGAAAAGCGTGACCTTTTTACGTGATAGTAATTCCATTGTGGTAGTAGGCGTGATATCACACACATAACGTTTACGTATTAATTATTATGACCGCAACGTAGAGCTGCGGTCACACAAAAACTGTGTGAACATGGAGTGTATATTATTATCATAGTTGCCAAAAACAAAGGTGCTACAAACGTAGTGGCGACAGTACGTAATGCCGACAATCAATGGCGCGACTGCACATTAGCTCGACAAACGTTAGCGCGACAGAACGATGGTTCGACAAACGAAAGCACGAAAGGACTTTGAAGCGACAAACCCTAGCGCGACATTACTTAGGCTGTACTTAAACTGTGTGAAGTTTTTGCAGCTTGTTATTTGTATTCATTTATTGGTTACTTTTTGTGATTAATGCGTGTCATATAAAAAAACATTATTAATTTTGAAATATGTTTCATCATCATCATCATCATCATTATCATCATCATCATCATCAGGTCATGATGCAAGAGTAAGTACCTACGCTCCTAATATTACCAGAGGCCCATCCTCACTCGTCAGACGGGTAGGAATATTATGGCATCGTCCCATGAAGGCATCCAGTTTTTTGCAGGATTTCGTTTAGTAGTAGATACGTGTCTTAATATTAATATTCACACGAACCTTTGGCAGTGTCCCGCAAAAATCGTACCGGATTCTGTATCCTGTAAAACTGGATTGCTGTGAGAAAGGACCGTTTTACTGGTGCTTATTATGGAAACTTTGAATAATAGTTTATTAGTTTAATAAGCTGTTAGTGTACTAGTAATTTTACTAGATGAGCTGAGCGGTAGAGGAATATTCCGCTTAAAGGATTACTAAATTAATTATCGCTCTAGTGGAAAAGTGATTAGAAGTTCTAGGAATTTAACATAGAATGAGTTATTTTACAAGATAGTCATATCTCCAGTAGCTACAAGTACCTATACTCAACCTTCACTTGTAGATACTGGAGAAAAACTAAAATCTCTCTCCATAGGTCCAAAATTTCCATCAGGTGGGATGCAGGACAAGAGCTACCTCGTTATGGTTTAAAAAATAAGCAAAACTGCCAGACAATAGATATAGAACTTTTACCTGTTTTTATAGATACCTACATAAATAACCCTCCTTATGGCGCAATCAGATAAAAAGTCATAAGTCATTGTTTTCTTCAAATAGGCTTCTTAAAAGTTGGTGAACAGTGGTACCGGAGGCATTCGTAATAAAAGACTGCGAAAGAGGGTAGACCGATATAATCTGCCCATAACATATCACCCGCCAATTTCCTCAGTTACTCCGTGATCATGGCGCTTGCAACAGTGCCGAAATATCGGAAACTCTAAACTAGGGTACTTGGTAGCAATCCCGTCAATAATAATTATTCTGTTAGTGACCACGAAAGCTTGTCGAATTGCCGATAAACAAATTTAAGATACATATAAAAAATACCCTTATGTCCAAAGGGTACTACAAGGTTCAAGACTATATTGATGACAAGGATGCGTGGTCAGTTCAGTCTGCACATATTTGATGTAATTAAATTTGACTATTCTTACCGTTAGATAATTCCTGGCAATAAGTGGTGACTGAGTTTGTTCCGGCGTTTCTTCTCAGCACTTGCCATATGTTTGTCTCGAAGCGCTGGTAGGGCCCAAAAGATAAGGAGACATGTAAAGTGCCCCATAAGGGCTACCTTTTTCTTTTTTTTATTATTTTCTATTGACGTTCATAAGTGCCACTTGTGGTTTATACTGAATAAATATTTTTGATTTTGATTTTGATTTTGCTTACAACAATATATTCTCAAAAGCGTATAACTTTCACCCTACACCAATACACAATAAATGGGCCAGTGATGAGAAGAAGCAGTGCCAGAAACTCAGTCATCCACCATAGAATCAAACCCGCCACAACTAGCATAGTACCCAACGCATACGACTAACGCCCGTATTCACAAACATTACTATGAGGGCTCACAGTGCGCGCGGACGCACAGGGTGACACGCGAACCAATCACAGGGCTCTATTCAACGCTGTGCTTTCGATTTGCTGCTTCACTTAAGCAAGCATCGTTTGTGAATACGGGCGTAAGTCAAGCAGTCTTCAAATAAACAAAACACATCTCACGCACACCCTGTAAATGTGAATACACCTTTACACCCCAGAATGAAAGTGGCCAGATTATTTGGCACACCGACTTGGCACCGCGTTTTAAATTGGCATAAAGACGCGAGTTTATAGACTGGAGAACTGAGCCAGAGACGCAAATCTACTGAATAAAGCTTTTTTACTGTAAAAAAACTTGCCAAGTGAATAAATGATGTTTGGTATGATTAATAAATTAATATCATATAATAATAATAATAATAATATAAACACTTAATTAATCTTATTATAGATCAGGTACTTGGCAATGCCCGTAGCCGATCTTTAATTTTCCAGCTTTTAAGCTGAGGTGGAAAAAGCACAAAATATAAATAATAATAATATCCTTGGACATTTTACACTGCGCTTCTAGTCCCAAACTAAGCAAA